GTCTCAACTCAAAAAACAAAACAGGCCTAGTGCCAGTGCGGTGGCTCACACCTGTAATCTTAGAACTTTGGGAGGCCAAGGCGGGTGGATCATCTGAGGTCAGGAGTTCGAGACCAGTCTGACCAACACAGAGAAACCATATCTCTACTACAAATACAAAAATTAGGCCAGGCGTGGTGGCTCCCGCCTGTAATCCCAGCACTTTGGGAGGCCAAGGCGGGTGGATCACCTGAGGTCGGGAGTTCAAGACCAGCTTGACCAACACGGAGAAACCCCATCTCTACTAAAAATACAAAAATTAGCCAGGCATGGTGGCGCATGCCTGTAACCCCAGCTACTCAAGAGGCTGAGGTAGGAGAATCGCTTGAACCCGGGAGGCGGAGGTTGCGGTGAGCTGAGATCGCGCCATTGCACTCCAGCCTGGGCAAAAAGAACGAAACTCCGTCTCAAAAAAAAATACAGCCGGGCGCGGTGGCTCACGCCTGTAATCCCAGCACTTTGGGAGGCCGAGGCGGGCGGATCACAAGGTCAGGAGATCGAGACCACGGTGAAACCCGTCTCTACTAAAAATACAAAAAATTAGCGGGCGGTTGTGGCGCCTGTAGTCCAGCTACTCGGGAGGCTGAGGCAGGAGAATGGCGTGAACCCGGGAGGCGGAGCTTGCAGTGAGCGAGATTGCGCCACTGCACTCCAGCCTGGGCGACAGAGCGAGACTCCGTCTCAAAAAAAAAAAAAAAAAAAAAAAAAAAAAAAATACAAAAATTAGCTGGACGTGGAGGCGCACACCTGTAATCCCAGCTACTCAGGAGGCTGAGGAAGGGGAATCACTTGAACCCAGGACGTTGAGTTTGCAGTGGGCTGAGATAGCGCCACTGCACTCCAGCCTGGCGACAGAGTGAGACTCTGTCTCAAAAAAAAAAAATTAAAAAGGCTGGGCGCGGTGGCTCACGCCTGTAATCCCAGTGCTTTGGGAGGCCGAGGCGGGCAGATCAAGAGGTCAGGAGATCAAGACCATCCTGGCTAACACAGTGAAACCCCGTCTCTACTAAAACAAATACAAAAATTAGCCAGGCGTGGTGGCGGGCACCCATAGTCCCTGCTACGTGGGAGGCTGAGGCAGGAGAATAGCGTGAACCCAGGAGGCAGAGCTTGCAGTGAGCCGAGATCGCACCACTGCACTCCAGCCTGGCGACAGAGCAAGACTCTGTTTCAACAACAACAACAACAACAACAACAACAAAAGCAGAGGCTATCAGACTAGATTAAAACCTAAGATCCAAGCACATTCTGTCTCTAAGGGAATGCTTAAGAGCCAAGGACACAAATTAGAAGTAACAAGATGTTTGTTTATTTATATATTTATTTATTTAAAAAATAGAAACAGGGTCTCGCTTTGTTGGCCAGGCTGGTCCCGGGCTCAAGTGATCCTCCCTGCTTGGCCTCCCAAAGTGTTGGGATTACTGCTGTGGGTCACCGCACCCAGCCAAAAAGATGTTTTCTAAAAAGATGCAGGTTGGGTGCAGTGACACACGCCTGTCATCCCAGCACTTTGGGAGGCCAAGCAGGGGGTGGAACACTTGAGTCGAAGGGTTCGAGACCAGCCTGGGCAACATGGCGAAACCTCGTCTCAACTAAAAATACAAAAAATTAGCTGGACATGGGGCGTGTATCTGTAGAGGCTGCAGTAAGTCAAGATCATGCCACTGCACTCCAGTCTGGGTGACAGAGTGAGACTGTCTCAAAAACAAAAGATGCAAACATTAACCATAAGACAGGTGGAGTGTCTATACTACTATCAGAAAAAAATATATATATATTTTTGAGACAGAGTCTCACTCTGTCACCCAGGCTGGAGTGCAGTGGAACAATCTCAGCTCACTGCAACCTCCGCCTCCCAGGTTCAAGCAATCCTCCTGCCTCAGCCCCCCTAGTAGCTGGGATTACACGCATGCACCACCATGCCCAGCTAATTTTTGTATTTTTAGTAGAGATGGGGTCTTACCATGTTGGCCAAGCTGGTCTCAAACTTCTAACAGGCGATCCACCTGCCTCAGCCTCCGAAAGTGCTGGGATGACAGGCGTGAGCCACCGTGCCCAGCCAGAAAAAATAAATTTTAATATAAAAACTTCTATTGGCTGGTGTAGTGCCTCATGCCTATAATCCTAGCACTTCGGGAGGCTGAGATGGGAGGATTGGCTGAGGCCAGGAGATGGAGACCAGGCTGGTCAACATAGCAAGACCTCATCTCTGTAAGAAAAAAAAAAAGAAATAAATAAAAAATAAAAAACTTGGCCGGGCGCGGTGGCTCAAGCCTGTAATCCCAGCACTTTGGGAGGCCGAGACGGGCGGATCACGAGGTCAGGAGATCGAGACCATCCTGGCTAACACGGTGAAACCCGGAGACTGCGCCACTGCACTCCAGCCTGGGTGACAGAGCGAGACACGGTCTCAAAAAAAAAAAAAGGGAAATCAGCATGGAAATCTTTCTCCAAACTCCAAAGAGCTTCACTCCAGCCAGGCCAGCACAGAAAATCAAACTCAGGAGTCCACCACTCCCAACACTCCTGAGCAGGTAGCCTAGGTGGCGCCAGCCTGGGTGCACTGTGGCAGGCGTGTGTCCCAAACTGCAGCGGCGGCACCACAGCCGACATCCCCACCCCCCACCCGAGCTGGCTTCTGTGGTGGATTGAAAAGATGACATGGGGCTGGGCGCGGTGGGCGGTGGCTCATGCCTGTAATCCCAGCACTCTGGGAGGCCGAGGCAGGCAAATCACGAGACCAGGAGATCGAGACCATCCTGGCTAACACAGTGAAACCCCGTCTCTACTAAAAATACAACAAATTAGCTGGACATGGTGGTGGGCGCCTGCAGTCCCAGCTACTCGGGAGGCTGAGGCAGGAGAATGGCGTGAACTCGGGAGGTGGAGGTTGCAGTGAGCCAAGATTGCACCACTGCACTCCAGCCTGGGCGACAGAGCAAGACTCCATCTCAAAAAAAAAAAAAAAAGAAAAAAAAAACCCAGCTAATTCAACAGTAATAGCTGACAAGTTCAACACTTCACTCTAAATAAGGGGTGGAACAAGTAGAGAAAATCAGCAAGAATATGAAAGAGTTGAACAATACTATTAACCAACCTAACTGATACCTATCTAACACTCCACCCAACAGAGCAGAATATATAAGCAACATTCTCCATAAGACCATACGCTAGGCCCTAACACAAATCTCAATAAATTTAAAGGTACTGAAAAATACTAAGTATGTTCTTGAACCACAATGTAATTAAAGTAGAAATTAATTATAAAGGTACATTTAAGAAATCCACAAATGGCCGGGCGCGGTGGCTCAAGCCTGTAATCCCAGCACTTTGGGAGGCCGAGACGGGCGGATCATGAGGTCAGGAGATCGAGACCATCCTGGCTAATACGGTGAAACCCCGTCTCTTCTAAAAAAATACAAAAAACTAGCCGGGCGAAGTGGCGGGTGCCTGTAGTCCCAGCTACTCGGGAGGCTGAGGCAGGAGAATGGCGTGAACACGAGAGGAGCAGCTTGCAGTGAGCTGAGATCCGGCCACTGCACTCCAGCCTGGGTGACAGAGCAAGACTCCGTCTCAAAAAAAAAAAAAAAAAAAAAAAAAAAAAAGAAATCCACAAATATTTGAAATTAGTATACTTCTATTTCTTTTTTAGATCTACTCCTGAACCCAGCACTCACTTCCAAATAATTCACAGGTCACAGAAAAAAATCACACGGCAAATATTTCCAACTGAATAAAATATTCGAACTGAATAAAAATCAAACACAGGCCAGGTGCCGTGGCTCACACTCGTAATCCCAGCAATTTGGGAGGCTGAGGCAGGCAGATCACTTGAGGCCAGAAGTTTGAGACCAGCCTGGGCAACATGGTAAAACCCTGTTTCTACTGAAAACATAAAAATTACCCAAGGGTGGAGGTACAAGCCTGTAATCCAGCTACTCGGGAGGTTGAGGTAGGAGAATCACTTGAACCCAGGAGGCGGAGGTTGCAGTGAGCCGAGAGTGTGCCACTGCACTCCAGCATGGTCTACAGAGCAAAAACTGTCTCAAAAAGAAAACAGAGAAGGAGGGCAGAAGGGCACACTTCCCAGCTGATTTGAAGGCCAGTGTTGCTCTGACACCAAAATGAGACAAAGACATAGCAGGACAAAATATAGACCAGCATCTCTCATAAATATGAGGAAAAAAAACAAACACCAAAAAGATTAGTAAAGCTGCTGGGCACAGCAGCTCATGCCTCTCAATCCCAGCACTTTGGCAGGCCAAGGTGGGCGGATCACCTGAGGTCAGGAGTTTGAGACCAGCCCGGGCCAAAATGGTGAAACCCTGTCCGTCTCTATTAAAAATACAGAAATTAGCTGGGTGTGGTAGTGGCTGCAGTCCCAGCTGTGGAGAGGCTGAGGCAAGAGGATCGCTTGAACCCGGGAGGCAGAGGTTGCAGTAAGCCGAGATCGCACCACTGCACTCCAGCCTGGGCAACAGAGTGAGACTCTGTCTCAAAAAAAAAAAAAAAAATTGGAGTGACTAAACGCTCCCAAGTACTCTGATTATGGTAGAAAAAGTTATACAATCCTGAACTACCATTTCTAGCCTACAAAAGTTCTCTTGAATTTTTGTGGAGCAGAGGGCTGAGTAACAGAAACAGAGGAACCATGGACAGTCTCTCTTGTGTGGCTCTGCAGGGGTGTGGACGGCTGGGAAGCACTGACCAGCAACCCTCAGGGTTTCTGGCCACCACGTGTGGGGCCTCCCATGAGAGCACTACCTGGCATGGCTCATGTGAGCCTCCTGCAGGGTCTTCGCGGAGCCAAGCAGCAGCCCCGGATTCCCAGAGGGAGGGACAGGGAGGGGAGTCAGGCGAGGTCCGAGGCACCAGGAGCACACGGGGAGGGAGGGCCACCCAGGGGTCTTTGCAGCGAGGGAGGAGGCAGGGGCACTGAGCGCGGTGTGGGTGAGGCCTACCTTGCGCTGGCAGAAGGTGGAGCAGTAGTTGACCTTGTGGCAGCCCGTACACTCATTCATAGCCTCCCGGCCGCAGTTAACGCAGGACTGCTGCAAGAAGGACACAAGAGGCTGGTCAGTGACGTGGCTGCGGAGAGCCCCTGAGACACTGGGGACAGAGGCAGGTGCAGGCGGGAGGCCCTGAGGTCTGCCCATTGGACTCCTGACTGCACCTCTGCCCCAGTGCTGCTCAGAACGTTCTCGTCACCTCCAGAATCAGCTCTTTCCTAGCCTCAGTGCAGTTTGCCCCCTACATTCATTCACTGGAAGATCAGCATGGCCCAGGAGCAGTGGCTCACACCTGTAATCCCAGGACTTTGGGCGGCCGAGGCAGGTGGATCACCTGAGGTCAGGAGTTCAGCACAGCCAACATTGTGAAACCTCGTCTCTACTAAAAACACAAAAATTAGCTGGGTGTGGTGGTGGCCACCTGTAATCCCAGCTACTTGGGAGGCTGAGGTGGGAGAATCACTTGCACCCGGGAGGCAGAGGTTTCAGAGAGCCGAGATCGCACTACTGTACTCCAGCCTGGGCAACAGAGTGAGACTCCCATCTCAAAAAAAAAAAAAAAAAAAGGAAAATCAGGGCCGGACGTGGTGGCTCACGCCTGTAATCCTAGCAGTTTGGGAGGCTGAGGTGGGCAGATCACGAGGTCAGGAGATCGAGACCATCCTGGCTAACACGGTGAAACCCGGAGACTGCGCCACTGCACTCCAGCCTGGGTGACAGAGCGAGACACGGTCTCAAAAAAAAAAAAAAAGGGAAATCAGCATGGAAATCTTTCTCCAAACTCCAAAGAGCTTCACTCCAGCCAGGCCAGCACAGAAAATCAAACTCAGGAGTCCACCACTCCCAACACTCCTGAGCAGGTAGCCTAGGTGGCGCCAGCCTGGGTGCACTGTGGCAGGCGTGTGTCCCAAACTGCAGCGGCGGCACCACAGCCGACATCCCCACCCCCCACCCGAGCTGGCTTCTGTGGTGGATTGAAAAGATGACATGGGGCTGGGCGCGGTGGGCGGTGGCTCATGCCTGTAATCCCAGCACTCTGGGAGGCCGAGGCAGGCAAATCACGAGACCAGGAGATCGAGACCATCCTGGCTAACACGGTGAAACCCCGTCTCTACTAAAATACAAAAAATAAGCCGGGTGTGGTGGCGGGCGTCTGTAGTCCCAGCTACTCGGGAGGCTGAGGCAGGAGAATCCCTTGAACCCAGGAGGCAGAGCTTGCAGTGAGCTGAGATCCGGCCACTGCACTCCAGCCTGGGCGACAGAGCGGGACTCCATCTCAAAAAAAAAAAAGAAAAAAGAAAAATGACACCAGAGGTTTGTGTACTTTCTCCTGGAATTACATTATTGCAGCTTTTCTTTCTAATCAGCGCATAGATCAACATGCTGTCAATGATTAACGTTTGTGGCATGACTAAGGTGCTTGACAGTTTTGAGTTCCGCCGTCAATGTCAATGCTCTCGGAGACGGAGAAGGCCACCGGGCCTAGGAGAGGCCTCAGCGACGGGACCCGCACGCCCGGTACGCGCCCAGATCATCCGCAGGCACTGCGGGAGAGGCCGTGGCCAGTGAGTGAGTGGCAGCGTCTGCAAGCAGCTCCGGAAACGACCCCAGTGCGGCCTCACGGTTCCTGCACGCGCAGCCCGGCTCTGAGGCTCTGTTCTGATGCTTGCCTCCCTTCTTCGCAAACGTGATCTTTAGCATTTTTCCAGTTGTAAGACATTCAGAGCTCCAACATTCACTCACTTCAGAAAACAGGAGGCATTTTGGTACTAATTTAGGTTGTCCCCTGCCTCTACTTTATGTATTTATTTATTTATTTATTTTTGAGATGGAGTCTCACTCTGTTGCCAGCCTGGGGTGCAGTGGCACGATCTTGGCTCACTGCAACCTCCGCCTCCTGGGTTCAAGTGATTCTCCTGCCTCAACCTCCTGAGTAGCTGGGACTACAGGCACCTGCCACCACATCTGGCTTTTTTGTTTTTTTTTTTTTTAGTAGAGACAAGGTTTCACCATGTTGGCCAGGATGGTCTTGATCTCTTGACCTCATGATCCACCTGCCTCGGCCTCCCAAAGTGCTGGGATTACAAGCTTGAGTCACTGCGCCCAGCCTTTTATTTATTTATTTATTTATTTTTGAGATGGGAGTCTCATTCTGTTGCCCAGGTTGGAGTGCAGTGGCGCGATCTTGGCTCACTGCAACCTCCGCCTCCTGGGTTCAAGCGATCCTTGTGCCTCAGCCTCCCCACAGCTGGGACTACAGGCACGCACCACCACGCCCAGCTAATATTTTTGTATTTTTAGTACACATGAGATTTCACCATATTGGTCAGGCTGGTCTCAAACTCCTGACCTCAAATGATCCAGCTGAGTCGGCCTCCCAAAGTGCTGGGATTACAGGCATGAGCTACCACACCTGGCCTGTGCCTCTACTTTAAATGACAAAATATTTCTTGGAAAGTCTGTGACCACACAGAAGTTCCTCGAAGAAGAACACAGCTTCTGTAGCTTTATTAACATCCTGGGTTGCTCTGTGGATGGCCGGGTCCAGCCCCTCAGAGACCTGGGTCAGGTGGGGTGGGAGGCTGGCGGGAGCGTGGTCGGCGTGCCCCCACGCTGAGAAGGGCACGAGGCTCCGCGTCCAGCAGTCCCTGTGCACCACACACCAGGACGTCCTATACTTGCCCCCCAGCATAGTTCCTGGAGGACAGCACCCCTGAACCGAACGTCCTGTTGCCTCGCGGGCACCTCTTTGGCCTCAGCTGGGACTTTCAACCGCTCGGCCCTTTCGCAGTACACCCTTTGCACAACCTTTTTTTTAAAAAAAAAAACACAAAAAAATAACTTTTTAGGAAGGTTAGAAGGAGTTTTGGGGTCTGAATTAGAGTCAGAGGCAGTAGCATGAACTCATGTTCTCCTCACAGATACAGAAACGGCTGCGGAGACGTTCATACGAGGGTGACACAGGTGACACCCTCGTCCCTGCTCTGCAGCTGACGGCCTCCAAGCGACAACATCCCAGCAGCACCGGACCCACCTGGCACCCAGGCCTCACTCTCTAAGACTCTCCAGTAAAAGGATCTGGGCTCCTTGGAGAAGGGGCTGGTTCCCGGGCCAGGGCAGGGAATGCAGGAGGAGCCTAGAGCACCCTACAGTGCCAGGAAGTCAGGACGTGGCCCAAAATGAAAAATCTGTTGATGGGGGTGCGTCAGGGGACCCAGGAGCTGACTGCAGGAGCTCCCCAGGGCCAAGGACAGATAGTGTGAATCACAAAAAAAGTAGTATTGTATTCTAGCTCAGAGTTTAAAACATACATAAAATGAGCTCATCCTGATACAAACAAATGATCAAATAAATAAATACAAGTCCAAGCTCTTCCGGTCCTCCCCTGTCTAGGAGGAGCCCCCGGCCGTGGACTTGCCCCCTGACTAAACGTGCAAGGGGAGAAGCAGCCCTGTTACCAAGGAGACAGCCGCAGACACCCTGACTCTGGTGAGGAAGGTCAGAGCTGTCTGTAATGTCACTTGGATGTCAGAGACGCCACAGTGGTGTAAGACAGGCGGCGGCACTCCTCCCTGAAACCTGTCATCCACCCCCACCAGAAAGCACAAGACAAGCCTGGGTTGGGGCACCTGGACAAACTGCCTGGCCAGACCCCTCAGAACTGCAGGGCACGGAAGACAAGGAAAGACTGAGAGACCATCACAGGCCTGAGGGTGCTGGGTAAATGGCGCACGGGAGGCCATCTCCCACAGGTGGCAGCGGGGACAAGGTCCTGGAGCAGAAACAGGATGTTGATAGTGAAATTCAAAGTCTGGAGTTCACAGTGACACCCAGTGCTGGATTCTGAGCTACAACAGCCACGCCCTGTGGACTCAGAAGTTACAGAAAGGAGGCTGCGGAGTGGCAGAAGGGATCTTCTGTGCTCACTCTGCAACTTTTCTGTAAACCTAAAATTATCCCGAAATACGTTTATTTTTAAAAATAACCATTCATTGGCCGGGCGCAGTGGCTCACGCCTGTAATTTCAGCACTTTGGGAGGCCGAGGAGGGCGGATCATAAGGTCAGGAGTTCGAAACCAGCCTGGCCAACATGGTGAAACCCCATCTCTACTAAAAATACAAACATTAGCTGGGCGTGGCGGCAGGCGCCTGTAGTCCCAGCTACTCGGGAGGCTGAGGCAGAAGAATTGCCTGAATCCGGGAGGCAGAGGTTGCAGTGAGCCGAGATTACACCATTGCACTCCAGCCTGCACGACAGAGCAAGACTGTCTCAAAAAATAAAAATAAAATAAAAAAATACCCATTCATTACTGTGGAAGAGGTGAGTTGCGTTGCAGAAGGTTAGGACAAGACACCGCGTTTCTGCTGCCAAGGACATTGATGAGTCCATTCTGTACTTTCAGGAAACCGTCAGGAAATCACAGGACTGTGGACGGCACAGAGGGCAGAAGTGCCCAGGCCTGCCCGGACACCCCGAGAAGCTCATGCTGCCGAGCAGTGGCACTGCCACTGGCATTCAGAGTTCTCTGGGCTGCGGGCGGGCAGAGGATGAGACTGCAGCAGAGCACCCTCAGCACAGACTGCGAAGGGGTTTCCGGGCCGGCCTTCCTTGCTGCAGGGGCCCCCACCTGCACATCACACAATGGGAACACACCTCTGGCAACACAATAGCTGGTGTACTTTGGTCCAGGTGGAAAAAAAGCCTTGTGAATCACATATGCTGGTTTCACTATAATTGATTTTTAAATTAGACAAATTACAGATAACAAAGCCACTCCTTCAGAAACAGCCAACCAAGAGTAAGACCATAAGATCACATATAAAATGCCTATTAATTTTTTTTTTCTTTTCTTTTTTTTTTTTTGAGACGGAGTCTCGTTGTGTCGCCCAGGCTGGAGTGCAGTGGCCAGATCTTGGCTCACTGAAAGCTCCGCCTCCCAGGTTCACGCCATTCTCCCGTGAACCGAATAGCTGGGACTACAGACGCCCGCCACCTCGCCCGGCTAGTTTTTTGTATTTTTAGTAGAGATGGGGTTTCACCG